CGAACTTGTTGGCAATATTGATAATATTGGTTTTTGTAATATTTTCTTTTTCGACATGAAAGACAAAGTATTATAAAGATTTTTAAAGGACATCGATTATACTTCTTATAGTTCATCGATAAACTATCTAGACATTTATCGCATCATGCATTAGTCGTGTGGGGAAAAAAAAGAAAATTTGTCAACGAATAACTTTTTAATCTCTTATGATACTGGAGAAAAAAGTGTAGCTGTTTAATGAAATATTCAGCTACTCCTGTCTTCTAACTGATATATTTCGAGTAAGGACCAAAAATGACAAAAATTCGTCAACTAATACCCTTTTGATCTCTAATAATATTGATGAAATAACCATAGCTGTTCTATGATTACTCAGCCAGCCATTTATTGTAACTGATCTATTTCGAGCAAGGGCCGAAAAAAAAAGAAAATTCGTCAACTAATAACCTTTTAATTTCTAACAACATTAAAGAAATAAGCGTAGTTTTTTTAATAAATACTCAGGTACTCATTCACTCTAATCGTTTTATTTCGAACAAGGATCATTTTAAGAATTGAATTCTTTTACCTGCTTGTAATAAGTTATCAAATCAATTAAGATATGTATGAAAATGTTTAAATAAGTACAATGATTTTTATGCAGCGGTAGACCTTCAATTGCTGATTATAAAAAGAAGTCCAACGCGAAATTTTGTTAGAAGTCAATTAGATACTTTAATCATATAATAGCTGTATATATTGTTTTTCCAACTAAGCTCTTTTAAAAAGTTATCATAATGTTTAAATTGTGACATGAAGTACTGCTGCAAACGAAAGGTTGTTACAAAACAATTAGCTACTTAATCATCAAGTAGCTGTATATTATTCGAAAAAGTATTTCGTTTGAGAAGCTACGGTTTCAACATGATTATATTTCTAAACATTCTTCATCGCTTCAAATAGTAGCATCGGTTAATCAATTTTTGCATCGCATAGTAAAGTTTTCAAGTCAGTATTTTGTACAACAAAAATGCAGCACCAAGATGTAAAACGTTAATCGAAATCTGTTGAAGACTTATTCATAAGGCGATGAAGAATAATCTTTTCATTCATGCCTTGCATGAGTACAATCTTTTCTCTAAATCTGCTATTGAAAGATTAAAGATGTTTACTTGCTTGTTCATAAAATTGTTTTCGAGATTCAATTTCTGATGTTGAATGAGAAGTCATCACTGTACTTATGATACGATTACATATGTGAAAATGAATGTTCTGCTTTTTTATTTACAGTTTATGTAAACGAATAATTATTTTTTTCTATTGATAGTCAGATCAACAATCCATAAAAAAATTTTCCTTTTTCGCGCCTACTAAAACTAATTTTACCTAAGTTTAATTTTGCCTGGGACATATATAAAGATTTGATTGAATTCAAAATAAGAAACGATAAAGAAAAGAAATTAATTCGAAAATAAACTTCCTACAATATTTTTTTAAAGATTTCGAAAACGATGGATTTATTTATTTCAGTTGATGGAAATCATTTTGAACATTTGCTGTAAACTAAATTATATGCAACAAAACTTCAAAGAACATACTAACACATTGTAAAAAAAAATCAATTAAATCGCTTGAGTTATATAAGAGATATTTGAATTAATTTTTCCGCCAGACTTTTGGAACATCCTGTAGTTTGTGAATCACACTTATTTCTATTGTAAAACAAATTAATAGTCTTAAATTGAATATTAATTTGAAAATTTAAAATAAAAAAAACTCAATTATGTGGAATAGCATATTCCATAACTGTTGATAGGCGTCTTTCTTAAAGGAAAAGTGTAATGTTTCTTTTTTCTGTTTCATATATTAATAGAAACCAGCAGAAAAATACTATAAATTAATTTTTAATCAAAACAGTATTTTGTTTAACTTCTTCTTACCTTTATATGTATAAAACTTTGAGTAACACCTCTACAACAAGTAAATAATGGCTAACAAAAATATGTATACATAAATTCACATACAAATTTCGTTTATATAAAACACTAAGAAAAGTTACTGATTAAATAGGCGAAGATGTTTTGAAATTTTTTTTTTACTTGTGGTAAAGAGTAAGCATTATGTTTATCAACATAACAATGATCTTATGAGCGGTTTTATCTCTTCACTTGTAAATCATCTATTCAAAATATTCTCGTATATAAACATAAAAATTTTAAAAAATAGAAAACTTTATTTTTCATGTTATACTTATATTGTGTTAGTCATACAGATTCTTCTTTTGTATTTAATTATGTCTTTATCAACAGAAAGATGTTACTGATTTACAGAATGAAAAATTATTTATTATTATTCAGGTGTTTCAATAATTTCAATTGTATTGAATAGTTTTATTGATTAAGATATTTACAAAATAGAGAAAATCAGTCTATTGAAACAAAAAAAGATACATGAATACAAAACATGTATTACAAGATCGATGACAGATATTGATCATTCATTAAATTGGTACATATAAACATAAGCACATCATCATAGACTCGTTCACCAAGAAACAAAATAAAATTTCGATTTGCTCAGTTATATCTTTTTATATATTTGTTTACAAGAGTCGTTAAATGTAACTCTAGATTGTACATGAAAGGTCTTATGATAAAACCAGAGAATAAATCAACTAAAAATAATATAAGGTTTAAAGTTAGATATATAAAAATGTTTAATTTTATTTACTATGAAAAACAATTAAATATTGTTCGTGATTTATTGACAAAAGTTGTTGTTCTTTATTTTTTTTTTATATATCAGCACAACTATATTATACAAATTGATGAAGATGTAATTAATTATTATGTTCATAAGAAATATTTCTTATTATATTCCAATTGATGTAACTAAATATAACATAAATAGTTCTTTTTTTTCAAACAAAGTTAGCTTACTAAGAAAAACAATGATTGACATATATCATAGAACAAAATAAAATAGAATGTCCTTTATCGATATTTCCGAAATTTAATCGAATTTGAATAACAAATATTGAAGTTGTAAGACTAGAATAAATTAAAAAAATTATGTTTATGGTTAGTGTTTTTTTTTCTTATTAGTTAAGTTTCATGATACGTTAGTCAATAAATTTACCAATCTTTTAAGTATCTTCGTGTAAAATAAAACTCAGATCATAGAAAAATAAACATACAATCCAATTGAACTTGATTTGTGTTAAATCTTGTGACAATAAAACAAAACGAACCAAGACCAGTTAGTTTTCATTCGATATTTATAAATGAACAAATATTCAATTGAGTGCTGATAAATAATAAAAAAAGAAAAAAAATATAATTTATATATACATGCATAACAAAATTAGCAAGAGCAGAATAAACATAAAAAATAACATCTATTTTTATACCTGACATCATTTGTAATCAAGTTTTTATTAATACATAGAAATATGTTTTGATTGAGATATAATTGAACGAAAGTCAATGATGAAGAGCAATGAGTAGGGAGATGAATAAAAAAAATAAAGTAAAGTGTTTAAGAGTTTTTTTTACTTTTCTGACATTCGGCCTAAAGGAAGATATGTCAAGAAAAGTTTTTCATGTGTTTTTTCCTTTTTTTACAATATATCTACATTGTTTACAATTATTATCATTTTTGTGTACATAGCAGTAGATTAAATATTGAGGGCCTGCTTTTGAAGGGGTTAAAATTAAAAGACTTTTCTTGCGTTGTCATTTGCAATAGAAATGATTTTTGATGCATTTTTACCTTGTCTGCGGAGTACGTTCTCTAACCACTTAGAAGTAATAAAAATGCCAGTGGCGGAATTATATTTCTGTAGCGGAAGGCCTGAAGGGCAAAGCCGAGGACAGTCTGTTTCGAGCACAAGATGTTGGAGTAAATATGGATGATTTCTTATCCATTTTTTATATGTTTTATCCTGATCAATATCCCTAATTATGGTGCTCGCTCCATTAAGAGAGACAACCGAATTGTGAAAGGTCGATATAAAGGTATCTATCACTTGAAGGTTACTGTCTGATTTCACACAGTGCCATTGGATTGGATGAGATGGGGGTAGAATTGATATCAGAGAATCTAACATGGAACGAAAGAAGGAATACCGACGACAACGAAGAATAAGTGGAAGACCTGTATCACGAGCAAGATGTACTTGTTCAGTAAATGCGATTTTCTGGTGTATAATTTGAAATGGACTGGTCTCGTCAAAACCAGTCTCACCGACACCAACGATTGGTCGGCCAGATAGTGGGAATGCTCTGTTACAAAGTATGTTTTTAAGATTGGAAAGTCGTGGATAGAGGTTCTGTTCATCGAGAAACTTTGGATGCATACGAAACGTTTGAAAAACCTGAATATTGGTATAGGACACTGGAAAAATCTTGTTTCAGTTTTGAAATTTATGTTTATTCGATATCATAAATATTTTTCTAATGTTTGAGGATGACATTGATTCAAAGAATGAGTTTTTGTTTAAGAAATCGTCCAAGTGACAATGAGCATCGATTATGGGAATGTTAATTGCTAAATGAGTTTGAAGATGACAAGCACACGACTCGTATAAGCTCTTGAAGCAAACTTGGTTATGCATTTGAGAAACTGGAAAGATAAAAGTTCAAAACTGTTAGACTTAGAAATATTGACGTAAAAAAATATAAGAATAAGAAGATAATCTTTATATTTATACTCAGAATAGAAAAATAGACATCTTGTTGGAAAGAAAAATAAAATTGTATTTTCTGATGAATAGTGCAACGCTTTTCCTTTTTACATTAAAAGAAGATAGCGGAACTAGTTTTATCTTTAATAATATCTTATGGATAAATCTATCAGCATGAAGTAATAGAGAACTGGGATACTATCGATGGACATATCAATTAAACACTGTTTGATTACTAGAAAAGAGGTCGACAAGAGTAAATAATACTGTTTAACGCAATGGGCATATACCGGCCATTATGGAGGGTATATGGTTGATATACAAAATGTCATGTTAATTAATTATGTCTCCTCTTAAAACTCTTCCAACGATTTTCTCTTGGCTTAACTTGAAAAATATTTCTTGACATAAAGGTTGGCACTGAATCAAATTCTTTCTTTTCTTGATTACTGTTTATCTCTTCATCTTCAGTAGTGTCAGATGAAGATTCGTTCGATCCATTTAGATTTAAAGAAGAACTCAAACTTTCTTTAGCAGATTCATCTTCTTCAATATCGGCTTCATTAAATGCTCCTGTTCGAACATATCGGCCCATAACTACTCGATCATTTGGATCTGCAAGGTTCATTTCAAGTCTACAATACAACGTTTGAATCATAGTTGTAAATGGTTTTTTAGCTCTATTGCTCGATGAAAAATATAGACGAGAAAGAAGATCACTAGATTTTTCTACACCCTGCATGTCATATGAAGGCAAATGTTCATGCTGATCTTGTTCGGCTAAGTAAGTTCCGATTAAGTGCATATACGGTGTACATACCGTTCGTAAGCCTGATTCACGATAATCTTTCATGAAAGACTTAGCAACATCAGCTAAAACTTTAGTTCTCATTTCTTTCTTCGTCTTGACAAGCTCTATGACCAATTTGAATGTCGGGATCAGATTTTTTTACATTTTTACAAATTTTTTCATTTTGAATTAGTTTCTCATAGGGAAATGAGTTGGAAAAGAAAAGTTCCTGTAAATGTCCTGAAAAACGACCACAGGATGTGATTGTTTTAACATTATTTTCTGTTTCAATTTTGAAGAAAAATCGTTTACCTATGGTGTTACTAGCGTGTTCACTGAGAACTGTAACGTTTTCTTCTAATGTTTTTGTGTGCTTGGGTTCATATTCTCCTGTTCGTGAGGCTTCAGCAAGAATATCGCCTAAGAGGATGTCGAAAATTCTCAATCGCATGTGAAGACAATCAATAACATAATCGCTAAATTCAAACAAATCGCCAAAAAGGGGTTCAGACTGATAGCCAAGCTCGTTGTTCAAGCCAGTCTTTGTTTTTTTGCCAAACATTCAGTTTTTTGTTTAAGAGTTCTCGCTCCAAGAGTCAAATCGTAGCCGGAGGTAGGATTCACAATGATTTTTTGTTTCTTTTTACTTCTCTTAGTCCCTGTGCCTACCCATACTTCCTCTTCACATTCTGTATTTCTTTCTGTCACGTGAAGGGAAGCTTTTTTCTGTGTACAGAAGACACAAGGATAATTACTATGAACACCAGCCAAACCAAATACGTACACTGCATTTTGAAAGTCTCCACCTAAACGAATTTTTACAGTTATATATTTCGTTCGAGTGACTCCTAATTGTTTTATAGACTGAATCAATTCAAGAAACTCTTTAGGTAATGTTTTACGTAGAAGCTCATTTGATTCTTTCTGAATTTCGAAAATTCCTACTGGTACTAGATTTTGAGCTATTTGAGATGATGATCCACCGTCAACACAATTTACCGATATAGCAACAACGTGCTTATTTCCCATAAGAGTTCCATCCATATTCAGGCGAAAGCAGAGATGATTTAACTGTAAAAGATCTGTTCGAAATTTCAAAGCAACGAAGACTGAAGTTCTTAGAGCAAAATCGAACGGGACATATGCTGAATCATTTGTAAATTTTAAAGGAATTTTTCTATTAGCTTTATCTCGTACTCATCGAATTTCTGTCATCGAACAACAAGGTTGCTTTGTTTCTTTAAAAAATTTATGCAAGGCCTTAATAGCAGAATCTGTAATATGATATTCATCCTTAATGGGAAGAAACTTTGTTAGAAATTCTTCTCTTTGAGTAGCTACTACATCGTGGTTTTGCTTCTTCTTTTGAGAAGACTTTGGAATCAATTGCCAAAGATCATCTTGGTCTCTAAAGCATTCATCAGAATCACTGATATCACTATCAAACGGTACTTGGTGTATTTTTCTCTTGGTTTCTCTTGTGGAATAGACAGGTCCTATTATAGCATCTAGATCAAAGTTTGTCTCATTTCGAGAACATGATTTTTGATTGTCGACTTCAATGACGCAGGTGAAAAATTTCGATTGAACACCTACTGTTTGTCTTTCCAAAATAGCAATCTTTAATGTCTCTTCACCTTTAATTACATTTGGTATGAGTTGCCGTTGTCTACAGTAGCTTTGTATGATGACAATAATCTCATTAACATCAACAAGTCCACTACGATCGAACTCTTCAAGAGCTCGAATGGCAAATGACTCACTCACGGTTATATACACACAGGCAACTCCAAGTTGAATGCTTACAATATTGTTCTCTCGAACAATTAATATTCGATCGGAAGAACTAACACTTGAATATGAATCAAATTTCAAAGATGAGAACTCATTACTTTTGTTGACTGGTTCAACAGCGTTCGAATGAAAAATAAAAGTGTTCGTCTCAATCAATATTTTATTAATTGAAATATGTTTGGTGTCAGCTTGTCTTTTCGCTTTTCGAATGAAACAACTGATCTGACTACAAAGTTGACGACGCAACTCGGACATGTTAATATAAAATTTGACAGATGAGGCAAAGCAGTACGAACAGAGATCATCAATAAAGTCACATATTTTTCTACATTTTGAAGAACGTGATAAAAATTCTGAAAAAATATCTTTCAAATAGACAAAATTGGTTTCAATCAATAGACCTTTTTCATCCATATATTCAAACATGATTTTAGGAGAGTCCTCTAAAGCGAGTTTTGTCGACAATAAATGCATTTCATCCTCAGTACTAAGCTGTTTCTTATTGGTGTTAGAGTTCGAAGTCGGACTATGAGAAAGACTGTTGTTGATCAAAATTAGCGGTATATAAATAATAAAAAGATTATCAGTCTTTTTTTTATGCCGTGCTCGAGACAATGCATTTTTGCATGAGTTTATTATGGCAGATTCATTAACAACATGATTTTGTTCGATCATTTGTAGAAGTACTTTTTCCTTCATCTCATTTAATATAGAATCAGAATCTAATGAGACCCACCCTGGAATTTCTATGGGAATTTTTAATGATTTTTCACTCATTTCTGACAACTAAAAAAAATATATATATGAAAAACGAAGAACATACAGCAAAAGAATAAATGCAATCGACTTGAAATTATATTTCTAAGTATTAAGAATCTTAGCTTGTACTAATATTGATTTGAAATTGGGAAACACTAAAAGAAAAACTTTTTAATGCTATATATACATCATCTGTATTATTAATCTTATTTCATTTTGAAAACAAATGGTTAAGAAAAAAAAAATTCTTGTTCAGGAATTATTATTTTTAAGCATCTGTTGAAAAATAAACTATCGACGAAACTGTTTTGTAAACAAAGGTTAGATACAGCAGAAAGACGATTTAAGCTAATCTCAAGTATATAAGAAATTTCATAGACTATGAGTAACTCCTAATAATATAACTCAATTGTTTTGATTTCAAGGAAAGACTTCTAAGTATTAATTTTTGTAGTCGTCATTATAAAACAATATAGATGAGAAGTCTAAAAACTCATCTTTTGACACTGTCTGTTCAATATTTCTTCTGAATAATTGAATTCTTCTCATATCATTACTGATTATATAAAACTAAGAAGCTGATGACGTTAAAATACTTCATACCTGAATCTGTTAATAATAAAACGATATGCACGAAATTCGAAATAAACGAGCAATAATGATAGACAATGCAATGAGTGACGTTGAATTTATCTGAAATGTAAGAAGCTTGGTCAAAATGAGAGCATATTGAATGAACGATGTACGATTTATAAAAACACGCGCCTCACAGCATATGCATATATATATATATATATATATGCTGTGGTCCAAATTAAAATCCAGTCAAATTTTAAATTTGAATGAATTTTCTGAGCAAATTTTAAATTTGTTCAGAGGATCGGTCAAAGTTTAAATTTTACCGAATTTTAATTTTGACTACAACATATACATCTTTTTACGTCTCTTCCCTTAAGGCCATAGAAACAGTCATTGCTCTCGTGGACTGATATATGTTATCGAACAATGATGTCTAGCACGTGCGCCATGACGTGCTCTCGATTGAACTAGAACAGTCTATCAGTGTCTATCG